TCATATTTTTCTAAAATTGCACGTTATTTCTACTTAATATTTAATTTACGTTCAATTCTGAAATATTTGCCGTTTCCGATATGTAAATTAACCATCTCGGATATATCCCGGAGTAAACGCAGGGAGCAGTTTCTATGACACAAAATGCGCTCTCTCATCTCTCGACAGCGTTTTCAATCGCGCGACACTAATCATTAGTCGCGATTAACGCGAAATAATAGCGTCAGCGGAGAATGCGCGATCGATAACGAAAAATTATTTAGCGCGCCGGGATAAACTGGGTCATTGATTCGCTTTGCGTTAGTTGTCGGGTAAGTACCCGGTAACCAAATTTAACTTGGACGAGCTTCGTAATAAACGGATAAGTAAATAACATTAGCCGCGCTGCCATAGTAACGCATAAATTCGTGATCCTGTCGAATGCGCCGACGGCGATTCTTCGTGTAATCGATTATCCCCGTTTATCGCACGATCGAATTAACTCTTTCCGATGCGTTTGGAATGCACGTATTTCACGAGACGCGAGATAAATTATTATTTGTCGCGCCGGCGAAATGGCTCTCGTGTAAATAAGCGACGAAACGTTTCTTGTAAACAGCGTAGATCATGTGGAAAAAGGCTGACTATATGCAAAGATGGATGTTGTCATCGGCGAGCTTCGCGTATATAAGAACGTGAAAATTATAGCGTAGCGTCGAGATATATAGTGAGAATCTCAGGAGTGAATGAACACCGCGAATTCCGAGTGGCCGGTCGGTCTGACGCAAAAGCAAATAGAAAATAATACCGGACAGCATTGTTCTCGTTTCGCCTCCACTATTCCCTTTGATCCACTCGACGTTCGTGTCCCGCTCTATTGCAGGATCATCCGCTCTATTGTCGAGTTTTGTCTTCATCTCTCGCCTTTCTCATTTTCCTCCGCGACTACGCTCTCTATCCTAGTAGTAGTCGCCCATTTTTTTACCGTCCTACCTCGAACGGCATACGTATTCCCATTTATTAGTCGGGATTAAAAAGAGAGATGCTGAGAAAAAGGCAGTCGTGACAGATCGCTACGTTTATTCCGAGAGGAGAGACGACGCCTGCATTATTTATCGCGTTTGCTTATTATAGCTATTCTGCCGCGAGCTGATTATTGACGCGAAGAAAATTTATGTGCATGTAAGAATTTGAATGCGATCTATCGAGAAGAAATAAATTTGTAAAAAAGATAATAAATATGCAAGATTATCGGTGAAATCGGATCTAGTGCTTTTGTAAAAAAAAACTGTTTAATACGCTGTTTAATACTTGGTTTGAATTCCATAAAAAAAAAAAATTGCAGTCTGTTTATGCAGAAATATTTGATATTATCGATTTTAGCTTACACCTATCATTCTTTATTTCGCTACATCGTTATTTGATTCGATAAAATATATTTCCATCAATCGATACTTTCTTTTCTTTTTCCTCTCTCTCATTCTCTATTACAATTTGTCCCTTCCCGCCTGCATATCGTCCATATTTTATCACCCCTTGAGCAGAAACGGCGAGGGCCGATATCAGGCCGCGACAGATTGAAACATTTATTCGAAAGGGTGAATGCGTAACTGCACAGCATTGCCGGCAGTTGTGATTCATCACACGCGTGCCGATGAAATATACTTTCTCGGCGAGCAAATGAATACGAAAACTAATTTTCGATGGCTATCCTGGTGATACGGCCTCGTTTTTCAATTTTCCACGCGCTCCGTCACCGCCGCGACGTAATCGTGAAATATGATTATTCCGTCTCGCGCCGATTATTTTTAACGCTCGACCCCCTCGCTCATTCCCCGTTTGTATATATATGTAGTAGTTGAAAATCAACGAACGATCGATCGGTATAGAATCGAGTCAGGCAGAAGCGATCCAATCACGCCGACTTTCGAACAGCGATATCGTGCAATCCGGCGAGTTGATTGAAATATCCGGCGCGCTCATTTTTTCCACGACGAGATTTTCGCCGGCCGCGGATTGTTTCCGCAATTTTCCACGTGTTTCCTGGAAACACTCGTGCATATCCCGTTTTTATGATCCAACAAACTTTTCGCACGCAACGCGTATTGCTCAGAGTTAATCTGATTGAACAACGTAATACACTTCTCTGTATGTCAATTCGTTTTATTTTTTTTTACCTACTATTTTGTTGCCTAACGTGCTTCTCTCTCGCGTAATGTACATTCAGATTAGATTAATTATATATTAGTTAATGAAAGGACAGATTTGTATCTGTTATCGCGACGTAATTTATTGATTTATTTATATCAATTTGAATATTTCATTCACTTACCTTTATCAAATTTAAAAGCGACGTCTGGATATCGAACAGAACGAAGTTTACAGCTGTAACGGAGAACGGTACAATGATCGACGTGGGTCTCGCTTTCGTGAGTCCGTGAATTCAATAGAATTTCCCCAAAACTCTCAGCCAGATCTGGCAGCTTTCCGAAGTACTGCCGACAAAGTTCAACCACTTTGCCGCCAGACGACAAGCGATCGCACACCGGTCTTGCCCGCGATAATAGACTTTTAAACTGTCGATATACTGCATTGATATACGAAAAGGAATGACAGCAATACCCGGTTAAACATGCGTGACAAGATCTGCGTAGCGTGTTTCTATATATATGCTAATTTGGTCGTAATTTATAGCGCAACGTGCAAATTTAGCAAAATCTGCAGTTTAGCAATCGTAAGAGGACATTCGTAAATTAAATTAAGATTTATTATTTGTAGCTGAATTTTTTACAATTTTTGTTTTTCTCTTTTTTTAATATATATATCTCTTTTTTAACATACACTAGTGCAAAAAGTTCAGTTATAAGGAATAAACTTAGTGTAACTGTATCAGAAAATCATCAAGTTTTAATTTAATTTAATCCTTCACAAGATTTGTTTTCATAAATTTCAGAATTTCTCTTTTAACAGTTAATTAATGTACGTTATTTCATTAAAATTATTGGAAATAGGAGGAACATTAAATTAGTGTAAGTCATATTTAATTATTTGTTAACTGTTGACTGAACAAATGCATATTATTAATATAATTAAAAGAGATATGCAATGCAAACAAGTGTAAAATAATATAAAAGATAGTTACTTGGTATATAGTAAAAAAACTGACTTATTAACATGCGTTTAAGCTTTATCAAAATTTTCTAAATTTTCTGTAAATATACAAATACATATATTTACTTTTCCAATATACTAATATTTTTTTAAATAATATATATTTTGTAAATTAATAGATGTTATAATATCGATAATGCTAATATGTCTTTTTTCATCTTATTTCCTCCGAAAAAAAAATCCACGATGACCACGGTATGAGTAAATTATCTGCGGATTAAGAACGTAAAAGAGAATCGTCAATTTCTAGAAGATCTCTTAAATATGTGAATACTGTATTTTTCCGGGCGATCGTTGGGAAAAAATGATATCGAACCGTAGAGCGATTTATTAAGAGTTTCTATGGTCTCTCCCGAGCAGAAGCTGGAAGACGAAATGAGGAAAACTGACCGAGAAAAATAAACTAAAAGGAATGATCGTAAGACGCGATTTGTCCTGAGAAATCTTAACGTTTTGCGGGTCTCGGTTTCGTTCTTTTTTCCTGTTTTTTGTTCTCGGAGAACAAGGTATCACAAGCGCGGAATATTTCCCGAGAGCGGTAAAAATAAATCTCACAACGTCATATCCATAAACATACTTTTACAAATCTTGGCAAGAATAAAAAGGGAGAATTTCATAAGAATAGCGATGCTTTGCGTGAGTCAAGCGAATTTCCAAGATGTAAAGAATACTGTGATATATAATAATTTCTCATTTATGATTTTCTCCTATTAATATTGTCTACCGTTAAATTTCACCATATTCGATATACATAGAATTATACTTGTTCGCGAATTACTGGCAGCTGTTATTTCCCACCCCGATATTCAGCTCTTGTGTAACGATCACGAATATAATCATTTTATAACTTACTTAAAAGATTTTATAATTTACTCGGAAATTGATATACGATTTAAGCTAGTATATATTGAAGGAGATCATTTATCAAACGTATACTTGCAAGCTGAATTTAAACTAACGGAAGTTGATTATGTAATTTTGCAATTCATATCTCCTATATTCTCCAAATATTCCGAGAAATTGTTATCGTGACATAAATTCATCGTTATACCTGTGTATATATGTGTGAGATATCTCGCACATGTGAAAATGTAAATACTTTGCTAATATTTTTAAAGCTATTTTTGCAAAATTATATTAGAGGTAAAAATCTGACGACATATAATTATTAAATCCACGTTGAGAGATGCTTCTCAACTAAAAATGTATTTCACTAAAAAAGAATGTATTTCTTCTCTCAGAATATTATGTTTTGTACCGGATCGTACATACGCGTAGACCGACAGATCACACGTGATGAAAAGCGAAGAATATTATCAGGTATATAGCCGAGGAGAGAATATTTACTCGCGGACGTAATCACAGACTCAGTGCCGTTCACTTCTGCCAACGCACGGCTACTTTCGCGATGTCGTCACGACCGCGTGTATTGCCCATTAATGTGAACTACGGCCCGACCATTATGCTGGAATGCGCGCTTTCGAAATAAAAGACAACGGATCGCCGTGCGTCGTATACACCCACGACACGCGTCAGCCGCATTATATGTGCGACCTCCGATCCTTTTAGCCGACCAGACCTTCGGTTCGGATAAAAATGCAATGGGCGTGTTCGCTTGTTCTCAATCGTGTTACAATTTCGACATCCCGGACGTTGAAACGTATCAAAAGATCCGTTAAAAGCTGTTACGACAGAACTTCGGCACACGACGCTTAATCATTTCATTTCTGCCGATCGTATTTTACATGAAGTTATCCTATCAAGTTGATCACACATCATAATCGCTCTTTAGGCGATCTTCCTCATCTCTCGAAGAAAGAAATCAAAATAATGAAATATCTAGCGCTCACCCAAGAAGATCTCTTCGATGTCATCGGCGTGGAGATCAAGATCGAGCTCGGGCGCTCCGTTGTTGCCAGTCGGAGCCTGATGGCTCCTCTTTGCCAGATCCATCAACTCCAGAAGATCGTCGCGTAGCTCGAGTCGGCCCGCGGCCAGAAGCTCGGCCAGCAGGGTCAGATAGGGTGAGGTCAATAGGCGTGGACTGGTAGCACGCAGGCAACCGGGTAACCAGAGTCCTGGGAGACTGTAGGGAACCACCGGTACCGCTCCGGCACTGACGAAGCCGCCGTTCAGGAGTTCGCCGCACAACATAGATGCCGCGATGACCTCAGCTCCTCCCTCGTGACCTTGGTGCCGCCTCGATGTCGACTATCTGCAAACCGCGGGGCGGCTTCGATTAATACGAGTGGGGATGGAACGTTTTCGAGGATCGGAGAATTAATTGCGAAACTTGCGGCAAGGTTTTCAAAGGTTAACGGAGTAAGAAATAGGACGGGACGCGAGTGCGAAAGAGAGTGTTCGCAACTTTTCACGGCGAAAACGTCGGTAGACTGAGCTTTATGAGAGTTGAGCGAGAGTTTTTACATCTAAGGAAGCAAGCACCGGTATATTTAACTAAGTGAGTTAAGATTGCTACAGCAAGGATAATTATGCAGCGCGAGATTAAAAAGATTTCATCGTAATTCGTTTCAAAATATCATCGTAACATTTTCCCCTAAAAATGTTTTAAATAATTAATTGATATTAATACATAAATATATTCATAATAAAATGTTACGATACTTTCATCATTTTAAGTACTAAATAATTCGGAACTTTTTGTGTTTTTATGTTGACGTAAATCTACGCGCGTTAATTAATGTTTTTAAAAAATAAAGCTTCGCAAAATTACGATATATGTATATCATGGTCGATATTATAAAGTGCAACTTTGTATGTAGGACGTATTTTTCTTCCTTTCTACCGTGAAGTTCGCAGAGATTGTGCAAAGTGTTTCATTATTACATTTATTTATTCTGACGTAAATCTTCACGTCTATGACGCACAGTCAAGAAAATAAACTCTAAATGTTTGCATGTCAAAGTCAATTTCTCTTCGAGAAAAATTTATGTGCATATACAGAATACGTATACATACATATATATATATATATATATATTATATATATATATATATATTCTAGTTTTGTATATATGGAATTTGAAAAGTTCCATTGGCAGTACGGACTTTATGGAGTTAAAACTTTGTTATGCAGAATGCATCCCTCCTTACGTCGTTCCGTGAATATTATAGGACACCCGTTTTGTTAATGCGCGCGCATCCCAGCATAGGATTTCGCGCTGTCGAAGTTGTCGCGAAGCGGCATTAAATATACAATTTCATGAACGAACATCAGATCGAGAAGAACGAGACGCAAAGATATAATAGTCGCGGAGTACAAAATTTCAAGTCTGTGATAACAAAGGAACCGGGCAGAAGATAATACCCAACCCGAAACAACCGAGGAATAATACGACCTCTCTTAGACGAGCAAACGCGCACAATTATCGTGAAATATACGCAAATTAATCCCACCCACACGAGCAGGCCAACTTCCAATGAAATACGAACCGAATAGAGTAACGAGAAGGCGGTGCCGTCGAGATAACGGGTGTTCAAATGCGAGGGCTTCTAAACAATCTAACTGACAGAGCGATTCAATTTGATAGACTTGTGTTTATCTAAAATGAGCTAAGTTTACCGATTCAATTAAAGCAGATTTAATCTTTTAAATCTATTTATTTTTATTATTCAGAGTATATCTTTAACCTGTTTTATACGTCATTTATTTGTGTGAATATACTTATCACAAATATATAAAAAGAAAATTCAATATTAAAAATATTAAATTTGGCACAATAAGAAAGAAGTCGTTTTGAAACTGTTTTCTATTAATAAATATGTTGTTGTGCGCGTTACTAATATTAATATATTTTTATATACTAATACTTATTTAATAAATTCAGAAAAAGTCCCCTTTAAATCGATCGCGATAGAAAAGACATTTTTAAATATTATCCGATGTATCTCCTCAGCAATACACTCAGCATCCAAACAGTTAAATTCACGCACCATTTTCTCGCATGCATATATACTAGACAAGAAAATCGTGATAGATGACGTCGAGAAAATCGTCGCACAGATCGCGGAATTTTTTTTTGAGAAGGTTCTTAGAAAGGATACGCGGACGCACATTTGGTCGCGGACATCGACAATGCGGCACTGAAGAGGCGCAAATGGAGTGTGACAGACGGAAAACCGGAAGTGATCCAATGGAAGGAGAGGCATTCCCCTGGAGCCGATCATCACTCGATGCGGTGCATGACGTCAGGTTTGGCGCCGCTGTGAATGCATCGAGTGATCTCACCGCGACAATGCTGTGATAAGCACCCGATGCACCCGGCAGTGATAAATGGCAGATGAGAATTGACAGCTTTTACGGATCATCCAGCAAAAAATTCGACTTTATTTTCATACGTCATAAATTTAAAAATTTCAATGATCAAGCATTAGATGAAAATAATTTAACAAATTAAGATATTCGAATATTAAATCGTTTTCTTCTAATGCTTGATCATTAAAACCTTTTAAATTTATGACGTATGAAAATAAAGTCGAATTTATTTGCTGGATAATCCCGTAAAAGCTCAATTCTCATTTGTGCTTATAATTGGCTGTTGTAATTTTGATTGCTTTATTTAATATGTTTATTTTAAAAAAGAGAAAGAGAGATACAATTTAAACTATTTTTTTAATTATGTATAAAAGCTCTTCAATGTTTGAAATTAAAATTTAATACAATTTTAATTTTTATTAATGGAATGTGATCTGACAATTTTATAAAAAAAATATATATAATCAATTAAAATATTTCTAATTATTAAAATTTTGTCCATAAGAATGATGTTATATATCAAAGAAGATCGACAATGCAGAGATACATTCCTGGATACACAGACACATATTTCCTTTACCGAGCAGACAATGAATATGACGTATCAGAGGTAAGACACGCACGCAGCGAAAACATCTCGCTCTCGTTAATCCGATCGCCTACGCACGAATTCCCGCCGCACGAGATGTAATCTCGTGCGGCTTGAGATTATGTCGCGAGAAATTCCCACCAAACTTTGGCGTCCCTGAAATTCTGGATCGGAATTCGCGGCATCGCGCAGCGGCGTAGCGACACGGGGAACGATGCTGTTATCCCTCGTGGAAAATCGAAGATCATGCGAGCCCCACGGACGATAAACACCACAAAATTATCAAGACGGAATCCTTCGAGAGTATTTGTTAGAGAATACTCTCTCTCTCTCTCTCTTTAGCTTATGAGGTCGCAGGGATTCCGCGTGTGTCATCGCTGTCGTGGAAATTACTTAGGGTCGAGCAGACATGCGTAATGTCATTTATATAGCACATGACCGGAATTTACTCGCAATATTATACCGTAATTCAGGATTTTTTTCGACATCCTCGCGATGACGAATTCTATCATTCGTATATCATTTGCGGCTCTGTTTCTTTGCCCATAAGAAAAAAATAATTACATAATAATAAAGAGCGCGGAATTCACGATTTTGTACATAACATAAATAAAAAGGTGCAACAAAAATATATTTCGAAAAATAGATGTATATTTCTGTTGTAAAAAAAATCTTTGATTAAGATTAAAAGGTGAAATACGCGTTAGCTACGCACATGCACGATATCACGTTGGAAAAATCGCGTGTATTATCGTAAGAGAGAAAAGTCCATTTCTCCCGCTTTTCAGATCGCATCCTTGTGTCATGGAAAATGCTCGTAGCCAGAATGGCATCGCACGAAATCGAAGCTGCATAATTTTCTGGTTCACAGATCGAACGATCGATCTGAATTGCATCAAATGCATTGCAAATAGAAACGAATAACGTTGCATTTATATGATTTAACAGAACTATTAAGATAGACATTCAGGAAATGTCAATTTTTACATTGTTATCTATAAACTACATTTTTGTTCAAACAAAAATCGATATTAGAGTCTGTTACGAAAATTGTTATATTAACATCACTATATTGATATTTGCACTAATCTGTCCTTTATTTATAGTTTCGATTTTAATCAATGACTTATCAAATCATATATTTAAAAATTCAATGACACACATATAATTTCCTACTAAATATTTGTTAATAATTGTGCGATGCATTGTATATAACAAATTTCAATATTTGTTGATATTTGCAAAATATCTATATACATGCATATATATGTACATATACGTATATACACGTTTCCCACAATATAATCGTAAAATCTGAAAGTTTCAATTATCGATATTAAATACTGTTTCAATTTCGGTCTGATAACATGTATCAAATTGGTTAGCGCGGCAAGCGCAAATATTAGCAATACATTTCCGCTTGTCAATACGTCGTGATATTTGCGCGTATTGCAACATCGAAATGGAAACGCATTTAAACGCGACGTACGATTACAATTAACTTTCGTAAATTTTTTGTCCATTCCACGCTGTTATTTTTTTTTTTGTCATATGTCATTGCTGTTTTCTATGCAGCTTTATTCCATACAATCACCGAAATAGACACGTTGATTCGGTTTATATAAATATCAATGCAATACAATTACAAAAATTTCATACTATTCTAATTGTCAAATACATCAAAATTTGCAAAAGACATACAAACAACCATAAATATGAATAAAAGAAAACGAATGAAAAAAAAAAATTGAATTTTACGTAACTATTAATCGCGTAATATAATAAATGATAAAAATGATCTCGAACGTACATTGAAATGAATCCGAAATCTTTTTAATGAACACGTATGATAAACAAATTCGTGCGCGCGAAGCGAAAGCCCTAATTATTATCGTAGATAAAGACCAGGGTGTGCGGTTGGAGTAAAACCACCCTCGTCGTTACTCGCACGCGACTTGCACGAACGAAACTCGCGCGAGCAATTCGCGCGGAATTGCGCTATTACGAAGCGGGATGAATCACGACCGACCGGGAATATCGCGATACCGGTACTGGCAACTTTCCGCAGAGAAGAGACGGGGAGCAAGTGGGAAGAAGGCATCGACCAGGGGCGGCAGACGTACGGGCGCCGTGGTAGCCATCTCCTCGTTATCGTAGTCCACCCTCTTTCGCTTGTACTCCGAAACTGGAACAACCGAGCGCGCGCGCTCTCTCTCTCTCTCTCTGCCGTTCTGTCGGAATGTACGGCCGCTCGGCACGAGATATCCGTTCCGCCTCGCCGTATGGCCATTCATAAAGCGGCCTTAAACACCGGTCTTAACCACCACGCGGAAAACGGGCTGTGATTTAT